ATACATATATATATATATATATATATATATATATAATATATATATATATATATATATATAGATATAGATAGATAGAAGATAGATAGATAGATAGATAGATAGATAGATAGATAGATAGATAGATAGATAGATAGATAGATAGATAGATAGATAGATAGATATAGATAGATATATATAGATATATGAATGTCCATATATGTATATATATATACATATATATGTATACACACACACACACACACACACACACACACACACACACACACACACATATATATATATATATTATATATATATATATATATATATATATATATATATATATATATATATATATATATATATATATATATATATATGAACATATATATATGTATATATATATAAATATATATATATATATATATATATATAAATATATATATATATATATATATATACATATATATATTTATATATATATATACATATATATATTTATATATATATATAATATATATATATATATATATATATAATATATATATATTAATATATATATATAATATATATATATATATATATATATATATATATATATATATATATATATATGTATATATATATATATATATATATATATATATATATATATATATATATATATATATATATATATATATATATATATATATATATATATATATATATATTATATATTTATATATATATAGCTTTCCGAAACATATATCAGTATAAACCGTGTCATTTTTGCGTAATCCGCACCGAGTGAATTTGGGCAAATCTTCGGCATCAATAGAGCTTCCACGAAAGGCACTGAAGTGAGAGGAAGCAAATTAAAGTACGCATTTTCAGCCGTTGGAAGTGAGACTCGGCTTCCAGTGTGAGACGCGTGACTATAGAACAAAGGTCTGTTGATAGCGATGTGGTATGAGAGTCCCTTTGATTATACCGCAGCTTGTGTATATGGCTTTGGGGAATTAATATAACATAGGGCGAGCGAGAGTGTGTATTAGTGGCGCTAATATTTGGAAGTCCAGAGAAAAATTCTCCGAAGCGCACTTTGATAGAAATTCATTTGCAGCTGAGAATGAAACGGGTGAATCCAGGCTTTGAAAAGTTTCCGGCAATATGAATCAGTGTTCAATATATTCAATTAGTGTTCTGTAGTATAAATTCTTGTTTCAAAGGGAATATTCAATGTATTTTTAGGTGTCAATATTTCATGCGATCTCAAGTTCTGACTTTGATTTAGCATTCTCTCTCGTGCGTTTACTGAATTCATATATCAGTCGGTTTTGTGCCTCGGAAAAAAAAAGGATTGTGACAGAATTCCCAATCAGTTATATGCAAAGGAGTATTCCAGAGAAACATGGCATACTAAAAGACAGAATAGCAACGTGAACCTATTGGTAAATAAAAAAGGGATTTTTGCTACGATACTGAGACTCTCTGCAATTCTCACCTCAACACCTGATCTGCATCTGCGCGACGGGAACTTCTGCAACTTCATCGGATCCTTGTCTCGCTGGTGTCATCTCCTCTTCTTGTTGACCTGACCTGACCTGACCTGCAACAATGGGAAATACCGAAAGTAGTGTGACGTCAGGAGTCAAGGCGCAGGCCAATGCTGTTGTTGAAATCTACAGTTTGGTGGACCTCAATGGTAAGCTCAAGTATTTATGTTGTGTCTGTGAAGCGAAAGGAAAATGGTTATGGTATTAACGTAATGATGACAAGTGATTTTTATTTTATTTGCGGAAGGAAGAAAAATGTTTATATTATATTTCATAACGAAGCATGTAGTTTTTTTTTATTATATTTCTAATAATGATTAAATCTATTCTCAAAAAGAATAATACAAGAGTGGTTTCCCTCGCAACAAATATACAGAATATCACTTGTATTATAATTTTCCCACTTTTGCAATAACCAAAATAACAACAATAATAATAATCATGAAATTAATGAAAATAACATTGATAATAAAAATAACACTGATGATGATAGTAATAATAATAAGGATGATAATGATGAAGTAATAATATTAGTTTTATAATTGTATTAATAACGATAATAATAAAAAAATCATAATAGTAATAATTTTATCACAATAATAATACATGTGATAATAATGAAGATAATAAGGATCATAACAATATTGATGATGGTAAAAAATAATAGTAATAATAGTAATGATGATAATAATGATGGAAATAATAATAACAATAATAATGATAATAAGAATGATGATGATAATAGTAATGATAATAATAATAATAATAATGATAATAATAACAATAATAATAATAACAATAATGATAATATTAATAGCAACAACAACAATTTTGATAAATACATGATGATAATAATGATATCAACAAAAATGATAATAACCTGAATACAAAAATGTAAGAAAATAATGATGCAGCTACTAACCATGGTAAAATTATTACTAGTAATGATAATAGTGAAAAAATAACGATAAAATTCAAAACAATAGCAATGTTAATTCAAGATTAGTAATACAAGCTATGATAGAAAAATATACAGCAGTAAAGGTAATGATAACAATAATGATAATGTTAATAAATAATAATGACAATATGATGATAATTATAATGTTGATGATGATTATGATAACAGTAACGTTAATTGTAATAAAGATAACAATAGTAATTAGCAATAGCATTTGCAATAATGATACTATTAATGGTAACGAATGATAATGATAATACTCATTATAATTATCATGATAATGATGATTTTAAGAAGAAAAGTAAGAACAATAATTGTAATAATATAAATAAATGTAGTAGTAAAAGTAGTAGCAGTAGTAGTAATGATGATAATGATAATCACAATAGTGATAATAACGATGATAATAATACTAATTATAACAATAGATAATATTAAAAAAAAAAAACAATGATAATATTGACAATAAAAAAACCAACAAGTACAAATTCAACTATAACAAAACATACCAACAATCATTACAAAATCAACAATGATAATAATGACGAGAATATAAACGATAATGATAAAACGCTGACAAAGCCACCGCTGCCATCCCACTCGCCTTCTGCAGGAGGGGGCGAGCTGGTGGAGCTGATGAAGAAGGCGACCAAAGCGAAGGAGTACAGCGAACTGGACGAGACGATTCGCTCCAAGATCCCCAAGTACATGTACGGCGGAGGCGAAGGGAAGTGCCTGCCCATCCACAACTACATTCTGAGGAGGAACAAGGAGCGGCCGCCGAGCAAGGAGGTAAGGAGGAGCTTGCTTTCTTTTCGTTCTTTCTATGTTCGTTTGGTTTTTAACTTTCGTATATATGCATACACTTATTTATATCTGTTATATTTTTATATATATATATATATATATATTATATATATATATATATATATATATATATATATATATATATATATATATATATATATATATATATATATATATATATATAATATATATATATATATATATATATATATATATATATATATATATATATATATATATATATATATATATATATATATATATATATATATATATATATATATATATATATATATATATATATATATATATATATATATATATATAATATATATATATATATATATATATATATATATATATATATATATATATATATATATATATATATATATATATATATATATATATTATATATATATATATATATATATATATATATATATATATTATATATATATATATATATATATATATAATACATACATATATAATATATATATATATATATATATATATATATATATATATATATATATATATATATATATATATATATATATATATATATATATATATATATATATATATATATATATATATATATATATATATATATATATATATATATGTATGTATGTATGTATGCATATATATATATATATAATATATATATATATATATATATATATATATATATATATATATATATATATATATATATTATATTATATATATATATATATATATTATTATATATATTATATATATATATATATATATATATATATATATATATATATATATATATATATATATATAATATATATATGTATATATATATATATATATATATATATATATATATATATATATATATATATATATATATATATATATATATATATATATATATATATATATATATATATACATGTACATTATACATGATGAAGATGTCGACAAGGTTTATGATATTATAGAAGACAAAAAGGATTGAGGTCACTTTCGTGATTGGAGATATGAATGCTAAAGTTGGTAGAGGAAAAGATGCAAAAGAAGTATGGTTTAGGATGTCGGAAAGAAAGAGGTGAAAAATATACCGATTTTTGCAGAAATAATGACGTATGTGTAGCCAACACAATGTTCAATCATCATTCGAGACATCTGTATACATGGACAGCGCCAAGCGATGATGAAACAGAAAATAAATATAACTGCAGAAATCAGATAGATTATCTGTTAGTAGAAAAAAGATTTCGTAACGCATAATGAACGCAAGAACTTTCCCTGGTGCTGATTGCATCTCTGATCACGAGCTTCTAGTAATGAGAGTCAACATAAAACTTAAAAAGCTGAAACAAGCAAAAAGGACCTCAAATCCAAACTTAGATCTCTTCGGTGAATGTCTTCTGTTAAAGAAAGAGTTTGCAATTAATACTGAAAACAAATTCGATGCCTTAGCAGAAATTTCAAGTGAAAAATATGTGAAATAAAGATGATGTAGATATCGAGCAGTCGGGGTTTGCTATGAAGGAGATACTAGTCACATCGGCAGATGAAGTTCTTGGGAAAAAGAAGAAAAAATGCCCCTTGGATGACAGACACAGTTTTAGAGTTGATGGACGAAAGAAGACAATTTAAAAAAAAAATGAAGTTGCATTTAAAAAGTATCCTAAAGAAATTCAACGATTATGCAAGAAAGAAAAAGAGAA